TTTTTTAATGCTTATGAGCATTGTTTAGTTCAAAAAAAAAAAAAAGAAGTCTCAAATATTTTGCTATGGCAATGCTCTTTAAATTGCACGTGCCATGCCAATAGGAAAATATATCAAAACAATCACAATCTGGTCTTAAAGCGGCTCTTGAGGATTCGAACCACCGTCATTTAAGGATACAATCAACCAAGATGGATAACGACGAAATGGACCTAGAGTATGTTGAAGCGGAAGATGACGATGACGCGGGTGCGGAGGGTATGGAGAGCGAAAATGAAGATGGAACAACGACTACTAGCAAATCAAAAGAGGTGTACTTACCAGGAAAACCATTAGAAGAAGGTGAGGAACTCGTATGTGACGAGTCCGCCTACATCATGCTACATCAAGCCTCCACTGGAGCGCCGTGTCTCAGTTTTGACGTCGTACCCGACGAATTAGGCGATGGACGTGAGAATTTCCCCTTAACCGCTTATATGGTAGCCGGAACACAAGCAGCACGTACACACGTCAACAATCTCATTGTGATGAAAATGCATAATCTGCATAAAACACAAGAAACTGAAGAGGATGACGAAGATGAAGATGAACTGGAAGATGATCAAGATGATGTTGCTGATGCGGATGAGCGAAAGAAACCCCAAATGACGTGTGCGCTAATCAAACATCAGGGTTGCGTGAATCGCGTGCGTGCTCGGCGTTTGGGTGACACTGTGTTTGCGGCAACATGGAGTGAGCTGGGACGTGTAAATATTTGGAACTTATCGAAACAACTGCAAGCAGTTGAAGATGCACAGTTGCTAAAACAATACGAACGTGAGGTAGCGAATGAAGCAGTACGACCGGCATACACATTCAGCGGTCATCAACAAGAAGGCTTTGCCATCGATTGGAGTGCATGTGCGGAAGGTGTGCTTGCTACGGGAGACTGCAAGTAACTTAAAATTATGAAAACAGAAATCTTCGTGCATGAAAATTATGAATATTTTTATCTTTCAGACGTGACATACACATTTGGTCTCCTCTGGAAGGAGGTAGTTGGAAAGTAGATCAACGCCCACTAGTAGGTCATACTGCATCCGTGGAAGATTTGCAATGGAGCCCCAACGAAGCGAGTGTGTTGGCTTCCTGTTCTGTTGATAAGACGATACGAATCTGGGATTGTCGTGCGCCACCACAAAAGGCGTGCATGTTGACATGTGAAGAGGCGCACCAAAGCGACATTAACGTCATATCATGGAATCGCACAGAACCGTTTATAGTTAGCGGAGGTGATGATGGTTTCCTACATGTTTGGGATTTGAGGCAATTCCAAACGAAAAAGCCCATTGCAACATTCAAGCACCACACCGATCATATAACAACATTGGAATGGAACCCTAACGATGCCACAGTGTTTGCATCAGGTGGTGATGACGACCAAATTGCTTTATGGGACTTAGCGGTTGAAAAGGATGTCGATCAAGAACCCTCACCTAATGCCACAGAGCAAACAGAAAGTGAAGACGACATTAATAAACTTCCACCACAATTGCTATTCATACATCAAGGACAAAAGGAAATAAAAGAATTGCATTGGCATCCGCAGTTGCCAGGGGTTATATTGTCGACAGCACACAGCGGTTTCAATATTTTTAGAACGATCAGCGTTTGAAAATAAAACGAGTAAATTTTTAAAACTTAAAAACGTAAACTTTTTATTTAAGACAAAGCACAATAAAACAAAGTCCCTTGGTTGTCTACAGATTATCGTCTTCCTCGTCGTCTTGCAGCATTGCGATATTAATAAGATGACGCATTGTTGGCCGGCCATGCGGACAATTCTAGGGAATAGATGAGAAATAGAAATTTAGATTATACATACATACATTATAATAAGACAATTCTTATTTTTAATAAGCAACATTTCTTTAATTAGATGTCATTTCAAGAAAACAGCTTCAAAAAGAACCTGTTGTAAGCAATTTCAACAAACGATAGTATGAAAAACTCAATTCCAGTTTGCAGCTTAAGTCTTTCGTTTTATATGTATGTATTTATTGCATCAAGCGACGAGCGCCAAAATAACTTTCAACCTTGAAGTGAACGGAATTTCTGAAAAATTCGGGAAAAAATTTATAAAAATGGAACCTATTGTATGCACTTTCATCATACAATTTTTCTAATTAGTTGATAGTAAGAAAAAAATGAATTGCTTCAAGCGACGAGCCCCACAAGAACTATTAATCTTGAAATGAACGGAATAATAAAATAAATAATATAAAAAAAACTTTTTAATATACAACGCTTTTATAAATGGACTAAAAAG